GTAGTAGTAGTTGAACTACGTTTAAATCATTATCAACGTACGTTGAAGACAAACAATATTTACAATCAAAGTCGCAGTGTTGTATAAATTGTGTATTCAAATATGCGTGTGTAATACATACGAGTATGCAGTTAACGATTTGATTGTTGCGTGAAAAATATCAATCTTGTGGCAACAACGGGTCGAATGATAATTATGGGAGTTATCAAACAACTCTACAGATGACCTGAGAGTACTATACGTATATTATATAATATATTATATAATATATACATATATTTCGCAATACCGTTTGACATTCAATACCTCCTCGGGAATGATTTGAATTCGATCTATATAAACGACAGTCGATGGTGTAATGCGCGCGTTGAAATTATTTAGTACCTTGCGATCATTCGTTGGTCGTGTTCACCACGCATCCACCCGGTTTTCAGATCGAATTTTTGTGTAAAGTTTCAAGTAAACCGACGAAAACAGGGTCATTCGAACTGTTCACCGTCAAGACCGTCGACATTTATTCGGTGTATTCGTTGCAATGTCGTATGTGGTAACGTGTCTCGTACACTAATGAGCATAATTGGAAAAAAAAATTGCACTTATACATGTACATGTTCACATGATATGCGACCCCTTAGCAGAGTTGTTCGTCTTGCTACTTATTTTTTTATTATTATTATTTTTTTTTTCATTTGCCGACGATTACGTAATTAATCATATGAAAAAATGTACGTTTTCAAGTTAAAAAAAAATATCGTATGGTATATTATTATTGTTATATTATGGTATTTTATTATAATGTATTTAGACGAACGAAAATAAGACGCAAAAAAAAAATATCGTAAAAACCTGAAAAAAATCGTTTATTGCACATACACATAAAGTATGATCAATACACCGTGTATGTACACAATTGTAATGTATTTAGACGAACGAAAATAAGACGCAAAAAAATATTGTAGAAACCTGAAAAAAACGTTTACTACTCATACACATAAAGTATGATCAATACACCTTGTATGTATACAATTGTATTTATTTTATAAATGTTAAAAAAAAATATAATTAATAATTGAAATTTATTTTCTAAAAAATAGCGCGTGCGTGACACGACAAAAATATAAACGTAAGGTGCACTTCAAAACAGATTTTATTGTCCAAGCCACAGCGGTAACTAAAATAATACACAAGTACACCGCGAGATTTATAAGTAAAAGTAGTACCATCGTTAGCGGACAACCGACTTGAACAATTGACCAGGGCCTCACACTTAATATAAATTCGAGGGCCCACGATTTGTCAAGTTAGAACAATTGGATAAGTTTAGGTGTAAAGACGTTTTACTGCTTTCGCATAGGGCCTCACTAAAGCTTGCGACGGTACCGAAAGCAAGTACAGTAATATTTACATATCTTTACACGGCCACGACAATGACCGTTGTAAAGTCGAACAATTCGGGTAAACAGTACATAGTGGTATTATACATACGTATATCAAGCGGCATTGATACTTGTAGTGATTATGACAACCGAAGCCACTACACACTGTACAGTAACGTTAATTTATTTTTACTTTTTCCTATTTCTTTTAACAGTATAGCGTTAGATGGTAAATATAATTATTACTACTAACCCCTTTCTTGCGTTTATCGTAAGCCTCGCGTTACAGTTAACGAGTTCACTATAATATAATGTTTGTATATCAACATGATTTATTGTAACATAAGCTATTTAACACTTTTCGAATTTCCGTACACACTACGGGGCGATTTGCATAACCGCTTAAAATAAATTTACATTTCACTGATCATTCGTGGACGCATTTCATAAATGCTATAATTTCAAGATTAACAATTTCTGATGCCTGCCACGACGGTAATCGTCCGCCGCAAGCAACAAACATACATTTACGAGTATGCTTGAAATTTATCTCTACTCCAATACATGCTAATTATGCGTGTGCACAAAATATTCACATATAACTTTCGCCGAGTATAAAAATAATAATAACCATCGTATACTTTATACATTTTTACAACTTTTTACCATTGCATTTATCGGCTATAAAAATATTAGCAGCGGAAATCTTATACGTTTCTTTCGACGACTGGACCTTTTACCGAATATTTGCAGTCACAGGGACCACAACAATTACAATCACACCGTGTCAAATATAATGAAGATATCATCACTCACTCTTAAGTAGTGGTGTATACATAACTTATATATGGGGGAGATCATTATTATTTTTTTTTTTTTACGTTTCTAACGCCCTCACGTTAAGAACATTATTTTATAACATTTAAGAAAAAACCTAGGGGGTCTGACCTCTACATCCTCCCCTTATATATACTACTGTTCCTGAGTGTAACTATAGTTGCTATAACTAGCTAACTATAGAAACTTCTTGTCCAAATAAGCATGCATAGAGATAATCTACTGGAGCTACTGGAAAATGTTCCACATTTCAAACTATCTATAAGTATCCTATTTCACAAGAATTTGAAACTTTATGTATCCGATATGTATTATACATTTACATACATTTGTAATGCCATATAAATCTCCGTCTTAACAACCGACTTCAATAAATTCAACGCACCATAATAACGCACCAGAGACATCTTATTCACTTATCTATAGCTTAATAACGAATAATTGTTTCACCATTATTATATTCTAACTTTTTATCAATAAAATTTAACTATCAGTTTGTTGTTGTTTTTGCTGTATTATTTTTACACATTATTTTTTTCCATCAAGTTATCATTGCAACATATGCGTTAATATGGGATTAGAAATCGATATAAAATACCCGTTTAGCGTTGACGTATCTTCTAGAAAGGTTGACTAGAAACATTCGAAAAACTCCCCAACCGGTATTAAATACAATGCACGCGTACTATGCAATCATTATAATGCTGACCGATACAGGTGTAGATAAAAAGTTTTCAGAGGTTCTTGTCCTCGGAATCCCCACTGAGATTTCGTTAAAAACCCAGGGCGATCGTTTGTACTCGATTTGTACAGGATTGTACCACAAAATTCATTGTTTGTACCAAAAGCCTTAAAAAGTTACGAATGTTATAAGTTGGGGTGCTAGCATCCCCTCTTTGAGCGTTAATATAAAAAAAATCGGGCAAAATATGACTCTTTTACGACTCAAGAAATGCACTTGTAACGCAACACTTATCGTGTTCATAGTGATTTTTTTTGATTTTTGTAAATTCCAAAAATGAAATCGACAAAAATTAAGACGGTACCTACATACTATGCAGTATTACACCAGAGGTTATTTGTAAGTACTCACTATTAGGGCGGTTTTAAAACATTTTTTTGTGTACATTTTGGTTAAATGAATTAAAATTTAGTAGGCATACCAGTACATTTTTGGACATATTTAGAGATGCATAATTGTACGTTTTAGCGTTGAAATAGTTTTAATTTAATTCAAGGTAAGTCAGAACAATTTTTTCGAGATAGGTTGGGTGGTTGAAATTAATCTGATCCGGTGAAATGTAAACGTTCAAGCCGCCTCTGTATTGAACACTCATGTACTTGTAAAATTGTTTATCGTCGGTGGAGGTTCAAAATATAGTATAATTGTATAAATATTTATATAAATGTAAAATGAATAAATGTAAATACATAAATGTATAATTATTCGCTCAATAAACATAGATTTATATAAATAATTAATAAATCAACATATATAAGGCACCGAAAACTATCGGGCCGGCACTGATCGTAACGTATAATACCAACGAGATGACGTCCCCCTGTGCAATAATGTGTACTATAAACATACAAGGTATGTTTCCATATAATATGCAACATTAATTTGAATGTTGAATTTGCGTTAATGTGATGTCCCTGATACTGCTAATGTCCGGTGTTTGCAACCTAATCATCAACGTTTTAAATCTGTTAATTTCTAACATACCTGCAACTGCAATATAATGTTTATAACAAAAAGTTATATTTGGGTTAGATTGTAAACATAGTTAGAACGTCATATTTAAACAATGAAACCTACTAATAATTGGAAAACAATTATAATAAAATACCACAACTCGTATGAGGGTATCGAACTTCGAACACCGACATATCTACCTAGACGGGTCTCTAAATCATACGCGTTTACTACCTATCGGCTATCCTAATCATATTGACATTAGGTTTATAATGGACGATATTTAAAGTGAATGGAAATCGATGGTTTTCTGTCTTTACTACCATACGAGCACATTATGTATGACAAAATAAGTAACTGATTTTTAACTGATTTTTAAGTTTAGTTACTTTTATTTTTTAATCAACATAAGACATGTAGTCTAAAACTGTCTTATGACGTGACACATCAAATAGTATGCATACGGACATTACTCTTATGAATAATTGATTTGATACCCCTTGTATATTTAAATATATTAGCTTATGGGTAAAACCAATAGAGTGTATTTTTATAGAGTGCAAAACTATTTATTTTAAAATAGTATATTTTTTTTTTTTTTTGTGAAAAACTGAAACATCGATATTATTTTGCTGGTACGTATTACAAATCACAATAATGTAACAACCCTGTGACATATAATTTATAACATTGTAGGTCTGTACTATCATATAATGCCTAGTTATATCGCCGGGATGAGTGTTAAATGTTTGTTTTATTTAGACAGAATAGATACATTGTATACATATTAAAAAGTTACGTTGATTGTACTATGTAATATGTTTGTTTCTGGGATGTGTTGAAACATCCAGTGCACACTGGGGTACGTCATCCAAATGACCAAATCCTAATAACCGAATGGTTCACCGGATGCGTTGAAAAAATGAAAAAAATAAAAACAATTGTTTTACCCTCCTTCCTTTCCCGGGTCTTTCGCGATTGAAAACTCGCGAGAAGAATGTCGTGCATACGACGTTTTATAATTGGCCTAGTGGCATTTGAATCCGTCGAAATGCGCACAGATCGGCATTATAAATAAACGCGCGTCGGACCGCAACACGCCATTATCGAACCCGAAGCCTTTCAGTATACCGCTCCGAACCGCTCCGTTGGCGTTCAATTTTCTCGTACGAACCGCGCAGAGCCGAGCAAAATCCGATCATGGTAAGCGTTTCAATATTCGGATTCACCCCGACGCACGTCCCGCGACCAATGCCCGATCGCACGACCCCGTACCGCCCGCGGGATTTCGTTTTCGGCGGACCGCGACGGGATAAATACTAAATAAATACGATTCGTAACCGCCGAATGTTGTTGTTCACAGTCGTGGATGGACCCGCCTCCGCAAGACTACTCCGAGAGCATTACGCTGAGCAAAGATCAGCTAAAAGGTACGGACGGTTTCTGGAATCACATCGTTCTTCAACGCTTCTTCGTCACTTGTTTGATATTTTAGTGTTGAGGAAAGCTTTCGATGCGTTCGACACGGAGAAATGCGGCAAAATCACGTGCGACAACATCAACGTGATTTTGGACATGTTGGGCCATGCCACCGACACCGAGACCGTGAGAAAAATCGTCTCAGAAATCGATCATCAAGGTACGACCGCGGGTTATTAATGTGTAGGGTAAAGGTAAAGGAGGTGAGATGGGAAAAATCCTACTTCGGTTCTTTTCGCGTCTTTATATCATATCCGACATAATTCCTTTCACGTCGTTTTAGATTCCGACCGAAACGAGGATTTTCTTAATCGTACTGTGTAATTTTATTTTATTCTTATTTTTTAAACTATTCGGCTTAAAAATTAAAATATGCCCGTACAAACAACATAATATATGACATAATAACGAAATATAAAATCGTGATCGTCATAATATTTCATGTGCTGTACGTGAAAATAATTATAGCTACGAGGATCAATTAATAATGATAAATTATAGAGTAATAAAGATACACACCTGCGTGATATCGTAAATAATTATATGAGGCTATTAATGAAGTCAATTTGAACAGAAATTTAAATAACATTCAAGGTTCGTCAAAAGAATTATTAATGTTATTGTTCGGAGCATTAATGATATTGAAATCATAAACAACGGGTTTGGTCTTAAAATGTTATGGATTTATTAAGCATGAGCATAACTAAGGAGATGTGGTTTTTTTGGAAGAAAAACAATGTATTCAAGATGGAAATTAATGGGTTAATGCGAGTGCTTAGTTATAATGCAAACTGATATAAAATATTAGAAACAGATGTAGTTCAATTGTGTTTGACTTGCCTTTGGTATTTTTTTTATTTTTTTTTAATAGGACGTTAAAACTTGTATTTTACGATGCGTACGTCAAAACTAATCTTATAATTTTAAAGAAACCCCATTTCGCATTTTCACTCTACAACACGTTTTTAAATCGGAAAACGTTACGAGTTAAGTACATACACAGAGTTATTTTTTCGAATCTTTCAAAACTGTTCTGAAACAAAAAAAATAAAAAAAAAATTGAACGCGTTCTTTCCGAACACTGGTCGCTGTACGTAGAGCGTTATTTTTAATGTTCACAAGATTTTGTTTCGTCAAAAACGTCGTTGTCAGCGCGTAATAGTTATTTGAAAACAACACACAGTTCCGTTTCATTCGGAATCTAAAAAACAAAACAAAAAAACGATTGATCAGTCGGCATTATCAATCGGATCGAATTATTATTACTATTGCTACTGTTAAAGTTGCATAATTTATTAAAATCGGATAACGGAACGCGCGCGCGCGCGCCAGACCTTCGGGACGTCGAGTGCGTGTCAACACATACGCGTACAGGGGGCGGCCTCCCAGCGAAAATACCGAAACGAGCCGTATTATTATATTATACACGCACGCTGTATTATAAATGCGCTCGCGTTGCTCAATCCTTACGTCCATAACAACCAGACCGTCGTTGATCTAATTAATTTATCGTCGGACTTAATTAGTCCCCGCGTGCTCGTGCAAAACAACGCACTAGAAACGTTATGATAATAATAATTACCGGTCGGTCATTCGAACCGATCTGCCGTTCGATTACGACGATCGTATCCGCGCGCTGTAATTAATTACTAATCGATGTAAACTAATATATGCTCGGACGTTGTCCCGGAGAACTTAAGTCGTTGTACGGTTTAACGTTTACCGCGACAACGTAATAAGCGAAGTAGAAGCACACACAAATATGATTGAACGACGAAGACACGTCATTCTGTCGGTTGTAAACGATGGCAATATTCGTTCGAAGGGGGTGCACAAATTACTGTATGCTATCTTGGAATCACAAAGCTGATCTCTCCCCCCACCCTCCGAAAAACTGATACGTTACTGATACGTAACGCGAAAAATGTTCTGATCAGGTAACATTTTGTATTAGGAAGAAGTCGAGACGGCATAGTAGTCTCACGTATTTTAGTGGTACACGACATAATGACGGATATTTAACTTTTTCCTATTTCGTTCCGCTGGGGTGATGAATCCGGCGACAAGCCCGCTCGGCAGTCGATTCATTAATGTGTTCTAAGCGCACCAGGTATTATTAATAATTTCGAGTAATCGGACTCCGATAGAACCTCGAAACAAACAAACACAACTACGGAGCAATCGAATTAAAGTATTGCGGTCGTCCGACGGTTTGCGATTTCGAGATTGACGTTTTTCGATTTTTCTCGATCCTTAGCGCGTTCCCGCTGGCCAACCGCGACCGTACGTACGATGCGATTGAATAATATGATAAACGATATAAATTAATCATGGATCGCGCAGGATCCCAGTGCACCGCTGTGAACGGCGTCCACAAAGAATATTGTGCATAATTGATTAATGATAAACAGTTACTCACATATTAATGCGAGCGTGCCACACGAATACGATTCTCATTGGGACACATACATATACATACACCTACACACACACTGGTACACACTATACATCTACATGTATAGAGTAAAACCTCTCTATAACGGACCCTCTATTAAACGAAATTCTCCTTTTAACGGAAAATAATGTTTTTTTTGTCAGTTCTTAGTTTTAGTTGTTATGATCTTACTGTATAAATTTACGTTGTACGATGTATTTGTCTAAAATTTAATTTTTTTAACGCATACATGCATACAGTCTTAAACAATTTTTTCTACCTCTTTATGACGGAAAACTCTTTATAACGGAAATGTTTAGTCCCAAACGATTCCGTTACAGAGAGGTCTTACTGTATATATAGTATACGCGTTTAAGTGCACTTAAATGTTAAAATGCAAGTTCTCGCGCTCGTTTTTCAAAGACCGGAGATTGTACTATGTTATTTTTTTATTTTATTATTATCACTGTTCTATTTGTAATCCGACGATCCTATGCGCATATATATATACATATTATATTACACTGTTTCAGCAACACACAGTGCACAGTAGCCGCACGCCGTGCGACTTTCTCGCGGAAAACGCATACTGTTTACGATTAAAAATAATTATTATTAATGTGTGATCCGATGAAAACTTTAATTAATGTTCAATTATTCATGCACTCGACGGTGCGTACAAGTGCATTCTGTAATAACACGTACCTGTAGTATGCACCGGCAGTGATTGGTGCAGAGAATGCAGTTTTTTCTTCAAACGTTCGATGTATCTGATAGTTAATCGAGATCACGCCATCATCGTACATGTGCAAAGGGTTATAAATACATTAATTAACAATCGTTATGACATCGTTACGAAAGTATCATAGTGGATATTGTTATTATTATACGCGCAGACAATACTCCCAATAGAAAGTTTGTGTGGTAAAAATTAAAACAATACAGGTACGCATAAATTATGTATTGTGCTACATATATCATACCATATACACTATTATTAAACTAAAACAGAATATCTAATGGATATTTTGTTTTCCATTTTTTTCTTTTTAATTAAACAAAACCGTACCGTCGCGTTTCCCCTCTTTCCACAACGAATACCTACATAAGATAAATGTCAGATCGCAACTATGGATTAAAGAACATGGATTGAGCTAATAGTTATTTTTCCTCGTTTTCGTACTTCCGTGTGACTAATATATTAAACCATAGACCTATAAACTATAACTTAGTTTATAGGTCTATGTATTAAACATACTTTGTTTAATATACGTGCGTATAGTCTATGATGAAAATGTTAATATTAATTATTTCGAAATCACACGCGTTCCACGACCTTTGAAATACATACAATATAAACATCTATTTAGGTAAAAGTTATTTTCAACCCATAAATTCAATACAATTACAACTTTATGGAAAATCGGTGTACGCGATTATTACGTATTCAAATACAAACTGCTAGACCGCACGGGTAATCATGTATTATTTATGAAATCGGTTAAAACTATTTTCGAATCGATGCGGCCATCGATCGTATTATTGTATAGGAACATGCAATAACTGTATTACAATAAGTCAAACGGTTAGCGGTCGATATCATAACGTCTGAATATTAGCCAGTAGATACTTCATAGTCGATCAATGCGCTAACTTATTTTTTGTACGGAATATACTTCGCTCGGGGATGAACCTGATTGAATTGAATAAATACGTATTAACAGCCGACACGGAAAAAATATATGTATCATTCACTATACGTCCATCAAACGTTTCGTTGTGCCACGTTCCATTCCACTCGTCTGTCCGTCAGATCATCCGGTTTTAAATTACAGACATACGTACGGGGATTATGATGAAAAATTATTAATTCGAGAAAAAAAATAGTCTCAACTGTCCAATCGCGTTTAATAGATCGTTAAACAGCACACGCGAACCGATGGGGACTCGACGTGATGATATCGAAACACTGTGCACAAGACACATTTTTCAACGTACATACTTGCATGTAAATATACCGCTCAAACCATTATTATTTAACTATTACAAACGTAATTGCCCTTTCATACACACCATTCACGTACTGCACACGTACACACGATAATGTGTGATCCGAATATCGTTTTTGTGCCGAAAAACTAATTCGAAACGCGTATTTACGTTTTGCACCGACTTAGCGAAATGTAACGATTTCGTCCTGGAAACAAGACTCGCAGGAAGAACGATAATCCTTTGACTATACCTGCTGCTGTATTGTATATTATACGGTATAGGCACTACAGTACGGTAACATGACGAAATCTTATGATATTCGAAATTCGAAAGGAAGGTCGACTGGGCAATAGATGAAGGTTCAGATTTCTGCTCGTATATCTATACATGCACACACGTATATAGTCTAAATTAAGCAAGACCTACGAGCATTATTATTTAGACGTTAAGAGCGTGCATTCAGAGTTTTATTATTTTTATTTTCCAGTGATGGATCGCGGAGTAGAAAATATCTGCACACAATGTACACACGTATTGTAGTGTTAATGTAAACCTTAATCGGATTATAGCAGTCATGTAAAGTATTTGGAGTAAATGTATTCAAAATACTTTGTCCGAAATACGCATATTGGGCATTCTATTGAAATTAAATTATTCTGTAACATTTTAAATAGTACATCTAGCGTAGATAGGTAACAAAATATATTTGGTTTTAGAACTCAAATACTTGTGCT